CTTGTACATCTCATTGTTACAATATGTTCAGCATTTTGTTATTTCCCTTCCCCTCCCCAAATTAGAAAAATGTATATACAATATGCAGTGACCCCCTCTGTGCAGTATCTTTGTAATAAAAAATATATATTAAGAAAAAAAGAAAAAAACTGTAAAATAAAATACATCTTTTTAAGTCTTCAACGAACAATTTCTAGAAATTGCAAAAGAAAAAATGATGGCTTATTTTAGCATAAGGACTTTTTTAAGATGAGAGAAAAATTTATTAAAATAGAAAGATGACAGGACTGGGAATGTGGCTTCATTGGTAGAGTGTTAGCCTAACATGCATGAAGCCCTGGGTTCGATTCTTCAATACCATGTACACATAAAAAGCTGGAAGTGGTGCTGTGACTCAAGGGGTAGACAGTGCAAGCCTTGACCAAAAGAAGTTCAGGGACAGTGCCTGGGCCTGAGTTCAAGCCCAGGACTGGCAAAAAATGGAAATAAAAAACAGGAGGACTAGAATGTGGCCTAGGCATGCCACATTTTGGCCATCTTCTTACGGAGTCTGACTTTAGGTTAAATAGTGAGGATTTGGATGGCTTTCTTAGGGATGGGTTTCCTTTCTGTTTCCTGTTGTGATGCCAAAGATTGACTGTCCTGCCCTTATTTCCTCATTATTTTGTTCTTCTCACTTACTCATTCTGTTGTAGCCCCCAGCCTCCATCTGCAAGCTGCATAGACCACAATCCAACGATTGACTGATTTTTAATTCTATGTAACTGCTGGGGGTAGATTCTAGGGATTTAATACAGGCCATGAGGTGGATGGTTTAGAAATAAAGTGAGTCTGAAATCCTGGAGCATGAAGTTGTATAACTATCCTAAACATAGGTTATTTCCTAACATAGGTTATATCCTAACATAGGTTATTTAAAGTAATTCTTTGGATTTATTAGGGTTAGAGATTTTTTTTAAAAAAGGGCTCGTCCGGGATTTGAACCCGGGACCTCTCGCACCCTAAGCGAGAATCATACCCCTAGACCAACGAGCCACCCCCGGGAAGCCCTGGGGATTTACAACTCCAGTAAGAAAAAGTTTTAGCCATGTCCACAGTTGGCTTTCAAGTTTCTTTTGAGCGATAGGGGCTGTAATGCCCCCTACTGGAAGAAGCTGGTCACTGCCATATTTTCGTCCAAATGAGGATGAAGAAGGAAGCTGTAAATCCTTTCACAAGAGTGAAGGAGGCGATCACGAGCTGTGTGCGTGGCCGGTGCCCAAACGCGGCCCTCTTTACCGGGGACGCGCTGCTTTGCTGGCAGCCGGTGAGGCGAGGCTGCGGCCAGTCCCGGGGGCGGCACTCGGCCACGCTCCCTCCACCGCCGCCTGCCGCCCGCGGGCGCCGCGTTCCCTGCTCCGCGCGTCCCCCTGCAGGACCACGGCTCTTTCCACCAGCGCCAAGCGCCACGGCTTCAAAGAGGACGAAAACAATCAGAAAACCGGGGAAAGGATAGGGATGAGAGGCAAAGTTAGTAAAATTATAAATATTTAAGCTGCGGAAGGGTGGAAATCTGTAGAAATAGAATAGTAAAGAATATATTTCAGCCCCCTAGTTGGCAGGTAGCGTGGCCGAGCGGTCTAAGGCGCTGGATTAAGGCTCCAGTCTCTTCGGGGGCGTGGGTTCGAATCCCACCGCTGCCAGCTATACTTTTGAAACGGAATTTGAAAAGGCTGTCACGTTAGATTCCTTCTAAATTATCTCGCACCTTTCAGGCTGATCAACGTAATGAGGGAAAAGAAGAAAAACACCTAATCACTTTGCTCATCGTACGCTTTTTACAAAGAGAAAAGAAAAATGTAGAGTCTTTATCCTGTTTTGGAACTTCTCATATTTACAATATTGCAAAACAAGAAAGAAAGAAAGAGAGAAAGAGAGGGGGGAGGGGGGAGGGGGGAAGGAGGGAGGGAGGAAGAAAGGGAGGAAGAAAGAGAGGGAGGAAGGAAGGAAGGAAGGAAGAAAAAGGAAGGAAGGGAGAAAGAAAGAAAGAGAAAGGAAAAGAAAAAAGTAGCACCCACACAAGCTGTCCTTGAACCCCTGTAGGGTGTATTTTGAGCTTATGCCCTGTTATCGCCTGTCAATTACTAAAATTGGCCCTTAGACATGTGTAACATCGTCAGAGAACAAATGTGGCACAGGAAGGTCAGGGCAGTGCCACTGGAGTCAGGACAGCCAGGAGACCCGGTGTCAGGATTCCAAGTCTCCCATTACTGAGTAACCTTAAGCAAATGGCTTACTTCTTGTGGTTCTCAATTCCTTATTTCTGTGTAGTTCTTTACTAGCCTTAAATATGAAAACCTGTAAGTGTAGACCCTGGAGAGATGAGGAACAGTTTAAGTTTTCCCAGTTTAAAGTACACACATGGCCATGGCCCTGATTCTTGAGGAAATTCCAATCTGAATCTCTTAGAAATGAGAAATAAATATTATTTCATTGTGCCTTTGGAGACCAGTAGATGTGG